TTAAAGCCGCAAAATTTCTACATTTTAAGGTACTATTCAAATGAAAAAAAAATTAACATATCAAAATGTTTAGATTGATCCAAATGAGTGTTTTGACTTAAATTGACGAGATGAGTCTAAACATAAAGAGCCATTCAAATTATCAAAAATGATTTTTTAAATATTTTTTTATCTTTCATATAACGCGAAATTTCTTATTAACAATATGAAGGTATGTACCTCCACATAAAGTCTCGTTTTTATCATATTTATAACATTTCTACAACTGCCTGTTAAGGTCGCTAGAGAAAAAAAGCTTTCTAAATGTCAGTTTTCTTTCTTTTATAAGATATGTCTTTATAAGTGACTTAGCAGTCGTTTTCCAACAGGATTAAAATTTTAGGCCGCAAGCCAACATCACAAAAATGAGTAAATGAAAATAATATCTGAAAGTGATTTTTTTTCTTTTTATATACCTTTTGAATATCAAGAATAGTCTTAAGAACTTCATAAAGTCCTGTTTTTATCATATTTGTAACATTTCTACAACTGTACAATTTCTGGCTTGCCAGGTCGCTAGAGTAAAAAAATAAATGTTTTCTTTCTCTTAAATGATAAGATAAATGTTAAATGATAAGATATGTCTTTTAAAGTTAATTTAGTCCTTTTTCAATTTTTATCCAAACTTTTGTACTTCACAACAGCAGGTGTCAAGTGCCGTGTGGCAGCCGTAAAAAGTTGCCCCGTACTTCACTTCAGTGTTGTTATATTTTCTGGTCCTTCGGGATCATTGATGCCAACACTATAGAGTGTTGAGAATTGAGTACCGCTCAAGCCGGTGCTAGGGGGCGTGAGGGATGTTGCACACATTCATTATCTCTCATGTACAGACTCAATCAAACCGAGTCTGCAATTCTTATGTTATTTTGTTGTGATTAATGCTTCCGAAGGATCACTTTGTTTCCAGAATTTTACATGATTGAAATTCTGAAGTTGGCAACCTAACAGCCTGAAGTAGACAGCCTGGCAGCCTAGGAGCCTAAAGAAAACTAAGAATAGTTCAAACCTGAAAACAGTCGGTATATAAGTAGCACTTCTTAAGATCACTCCACGCCTTTTCCAATATCGTGATCTTTATTTTTTAATGTTGAACATTTTCTTAACATAATTTGTGAAGTTAGCAGCTCAGCAGGAGTACCGTCGGAAATGAATCGGTAGACTTACAGCCTAAAGAAAACTAAGTATAATACAGTCATGAAAACCGTCGGAAATGAAACGGTAGCACATCTTATCACGTCTTGTTCCAATATCGCGATCTTGATTTAAAAAAAAAAAAAACTTTATTTTTTTCATTCTGACGCTTCGAAATGTTTTCGAATAACGTAGTCTTAGAACATTTTAATTTTCCGTATATATCTCATTTAATATAATGTATTATTATAGTAATATGCCTAACGCTTTTTCCCTCTTTAATAGTCAACACGGAAAATAGCGTACCAGTCAACCGTAACTAAATTCAACAAAGAATTAAATAATCTATTTCATACAGAATTCCATAAACGACAGCTTACTGCTCACTGCCTACTGTTTGTATACGTCCCGCACATGCAACATTGCTTTGATTATGTTATGAAATGGTTTAACGTGCTTCATTGTACAGATGATTGATATAGGCCTCATTTTAGGGTAAACAAAAAATCTGTGTTCAACAATCCACATGTATGGGCTTGAGCCCACTATTCGAGAGGCGGAGTTATGGACCATTATGTCGACACTACCTTATTTTGTTTAGAATTTCATAGTTTATTAAACTTTCATTTGACATTGTAATACAACTAGAAGAATATCTGTAATATACTGGTGAAATCACTGGTTAATCAAAAATGTGTGAGTTCATTTACGAGATCATTTTGGTTCAGTTTTCATTGGATGTTATAAATGTGTAATTCTTTATTAGATGCAATGCATTTTTGTTAAATTGATTGTACTCTTTATGCAAAGATATGTGCTTTGAAGGTAATTATAGAATCAATTTTATTCTAGTACAGAGGATGATAATCCTGCACCAAGTTTGACTTAATAGAACCTGTATGAAAATATTGAAATAACAATGGAAGAGGCAAAGGACTACATAAATGTATTAACTCGGCTTTCTTCTGAAAGCATAAACAAAGAAACCTGGCTGTATTCAAATTAAACAATTTCAATATTTCAATGACATAGAGTGCAAGTGAAGTGGAAAATTACAGTTTATTTTACCTTTATGAAAAGCCATCCTAGTATTATATCGTTTTTATTAAATGGCTTTATTACACTCCTGCGCCGCGGGAAACAATGAAAATGGTTTTTACAAATATATGTTAACCTTATGGTTGAATGTTGTAACATGGCCAAGTTGAAAAAAACAATATTCAACATTGTCCACATTTAAAACCAATTTCAAATGCATGGGATCGCGAAAAGTATGTATAAGGAAGGGAGATTACTAGTATTTTACTATTAGTTCCATAAGAATACTCGTACTCTGAAGCTCCAATAACAGCTTTACAAGTTAACCTAAACACTCTTTTCTTGAGATAATGAAATAAAAAGACGGACCTCCAGCAATATATTAGTTGATACAAATTTATTTATTTTTTGTTCGGTTGTGTTGGAAGCTATAAGCTGATTGAAACACTTTCGAATCCGTTCCTGGAACCAAACAGTACTAAGCAATAATGAATGTAAAGTTTCTTGCTAAAGGAAACAACGGCTTGCCCTTGACAGGGTGCAACAATATATTGATTAATCTGTTTTCTATCCTTTGGGTTTTATCACCATTTATAAATTAGAATAACAGGCAATAACTGCAAAAACTAAGAAATTACATTAGGAAGGCATTATATTGACTTAAATTAAGGAGACCTCAGTCCGTCAAATACTAACATTATTTTGTATTAACAATTCCCACGTAACTCAAAGATCTTTCAATGATTTTATGACTTTCCAATTTGACAGTCATGCTTCTGCTGAATAAATTCTTAACATCTACTAAAGTAACATTTTCTTGAGTCAAATAAATGTTCGGTCTACAAACACCAGAACAAGTAATAAGTTTTTTAGTGTCTGGTAAAAATAATTTTGTCTGAAAATCTATGTCTGTTTTATCTAGATTATTTTTCAACAAAACATTATTTTCAAAATGCGAACATAAAACTGACCGCTGTAATTTAAATGTAAAACAACGACATTCATGGCATTACAAGGTCGCCGTATAAAAATATCATTAACCTCTATAGATATAGGGTAGGGTCAATATCATTTAAGGAACAAATGTTATATGGTAGATGTAATGACTGTCTTTTACAATCTTGCTGGGATATACATGTTTATTACATGTTTTTCGGTGGTTTATAGAAATATATCAGTGATATAAAACTGGTAATTTCACTGTTTTGAATTAAAGCCCCTTACGTTGTTTCAGTGAAATACCAGCGTGCACAGTACTGAGTACCAACTTAATGACGTGACGTCGTAAATGACGCGCTTTTCATTCAGTATTAGGTTTAAATGTCTTTTTAAAATGTTTCTTTGCATGTAATAAAAAGAAAATTTGTTAGTTTAGTGTAAGATCGAAATTTTCACGTTGTTCACACTAAAAGTTTCATATTTCACGAGTGGCGCAGAAAAGTTCCCGTTGCCTGCAAAGATATATACTTATTATTATACATGTCTTCATATATAGATATAGTCATTCCATGACCAATACTGTTTCAAACGGCCTCATTGTAACATATACACACGAAGTACGAAGTATAGAAGTACGTAAAAGCCAACATTTACTTTCAGGCATTTAATCGGATATTTGACAGGTGTAACACTTGGCATTTATCAATTAACAGTAAGCATTAAACAGTCGCTGTAAGCATGAAGCAGTTAAAAGTAAGCAGGAGGCATTTGACATTAAGCAGTTGACAAGTAGGCAGTTGTCAGTAAACAGTAGGCTGTCGTTTATGGAATTCCGTAATTTCAAGATGAAAAATGTTAGAACGCTACACATCTAGAAAATAGCTCAGAACTGTTTAATCTGGATAAAAAAATCGTTATTTATCAATAATACTTTATTTACTTTTAATACTTAATGCTGCAGACGGCACTTATAAATGAATGTCCCGGATTAAACTTCTAAACATATGATTTCACATAAACAATTGATGTTTGATTCTTCACGTAAAAAAGATCAACTATGATAAAAACATATGAATGCAATAATTCTTATGCAAAAATGAGTCTGGTGGCTAAAAATGTACTTGTAAACATTATATAACTTCAACACCACTCTCGGCTAATGTGCTCCCTTGCGTGTAACCCATTTTACACGTGCTTAAGAAGCTGAAACTTTGGGTTTGTTTTAAATAATTTCATTGAGATTTGTCATCGAGGATGTATTAATGTTATTTGATATAATCCCATAGTGGTTTTATATCACAGACGATATATTCCACAAGTGTGACTGTGTGTTTTGTGCAATATCTGCTCTGTTCTACATATCTTCATTGGGATAAGAAACTTACAACATTTGTTTGAAGGCATGTCGACATATATTTTGTCAGTAATGGAGTTTATGAGAATTTCGAAAAGCTATGTCAACCTATTTTGATATCGACAAACCATCTCTGCTTTTTGGTAAATATCACCACATCTTAACATCATTTGCACAGTCGGAAACACCTAATTAGGTGTTCGGAAACTAAACCCCTCCCACCAAACCAAAAACTTAATATCTTTGAAAGAACATTTCGGTAAACACTTTGAAAGGTCAATTGTATTTTTAAAACAAAATTTGGTAGCAGTGCATTTTGTATATGCGTTTTTATCTAACCAGCAGTTATACCAGATAAAAAATTTAGTCAATGCTTGGTTAGCAACGTTTTATATTTTATACACGTGTCACAGGGTGATTTGTTTTGAAATGTTTTGAAAGGAGTTAAAATTTAATAATACAAAAAAACATACACAAAAAACAACAAAAAACAAATCGGTTGAATAATGAAATAAGTTTAAATTTATTAGGAATATGGCCAAGAGGAAAATTTGACTGAAATGCACTTACAAGTATTTATGAAAATTTAAAGATGTAAAGATACGAGACTACTTATATGTCTTTAAAGTGTCTTCAGCATAATACAAATACAGCAAACCTGTAAGTAACTTTACTGATATACATTAACACAGTGATTATGTGTCTCAGATGGAACTCATTTGTACTAAACTTACATATATGACGTTTTCAACCTTGAATATACATATACATATATGTGACTGTTATACTGCTTAATCACTTCGTCAATAGTTAATTATGGCATACAGATTGACAGAATAGTTTGCAGGAAAACATTGAAAGGTGTTCAGACGTCCGGGTTATTGTGTCCCTTTGCATTTTTCTGCCATAAACATATGCCTAACCGATATACTGTCATTTTAAAAGTTATCAATATCATAATTAACAAAAGTAAATGATTATCAAAACGTTTTTTATATTCACTGGTTTTTACTGCCAAGCCAGACAGATACAAGCCTATAAATGTATTCGAATGCGAGTATATATATTAAACTATATGTTATGTAAAATCTTCAAAAGTGTCCGACGGAAGATCAGTTAACTGTTATTAAACGAAATGCAAACTTGTATTGTAAAAAATCAACTCAAGATCAAATTATCATTAGACTGATATACTTTAAATAAAGCCAATATATTTTACTTAATAACGTTTGATTCTAAACATTTGGTTTATAAATAAATCAACGATATAGTTATGCTGATGGGCGGGATTAAGGCCGTTCCAATAGTTCCCGCCATCTTTTATAATAGACATGCCCTGATAGATTCTATATCTCTCCATCAAAACCATGATAAAACACGTCATGTCGCACATGGTCATATATAAATTATCACGGACCACGGCATCAAGCTTCCATAGTGTCTTCATCATCATTACCAAAGCTACCGTGCCAAAGATACACCTACCCTCAACATCTATAAGAAATAAAAAAAAATTCTGATAATAGAGTACTTTCAGAAAGCTTTTAAGATCTATGAAATCGTAGCACTTTTACTGATACGTCATTTAGTACAGTGAATAGAAGTTTGAAACGCATTAATTTAAAAAGGCATAATGGAATATATACTCCTTTTGAGACAGTGTCTGATGTTATAAACAGAGAAATACAAACAAGTGGACAATGCATAGGATATCGAACAATGTGGCGTATGTAGTCAAGGGGAGCGACGTCATGGAAATAATGAGAGCGCTTGGTCCAGATGATCATCGCTTATTGTATACTACGCCAAAGGACCAGATATATGGACGGTTAAGATAAACTTAAACTATAAGGATTTTGTATCCGTGGTGCTGTGAATGTGTATAGTAGAAAAATAATATGGTCTTAAATAACGACCAACACCTTATTGCAAGATACATTTAGACACCTTTAATGAACATTATCAAGTCCCCACCACCCACCCAATACTACGTTGGTACGGAAAACTGCATTGCTTTACTATTGCAGCAATACTTCAGACACGATTCTACAGATCCGTACGGAAGCTTGTATCCCTCGACAACAAGTCGTCAAAATTACGACAAGTACCATGTCATTTTGACAAACGTCATCATGTCGCGATACGGCATCCCGACTTTCATACATTTATATATATGTCGACTGTCGTAATTCTGACGACTTGTTGTGTTCTACAAGTCAAGGGAAACGACTTCATGTCTTCATAGCGGGGGTACATACATGCTTCCGTACATATGATTGCTGGTACTCAAAGCGTTGTAGTTGGAAAAAGCACATCTAACCAACGCATTGAGAAGTGGTGGAGTACATTACAACAAAATGGAATCCATTGGTGGATTATTTTTTTTTTAATACTTACGCGATACATGTGTATTTAATGATCTGGACCTGATACAATGTGAGAACTTAAACTTTTGCTTCCTAGACCGGATTGCACATGAAATAAGGCAACAAACCAGTTCACCTGTTAATTGTGATAAACCTGACACACTGTTTTTGTACCAGGTCTGTATGAAACTTACGACTTCGGCAATGCAGTTAACTTGAGTGACATGCAAAGAACATGTATTTACGCCCAAATATACAAAGGAATTCGTAGAATATAGCACCCTTTCTGAAGCCAGACCTACTATTGAACGCTGATTCAGCTGTGTACCGAGTTGTACGATTTAATTTTGCTTTGACACAACTAAAACTGATTTTTTTCGTGTTATTATATATCATACTAGGTTACTATAGGTTAAGTTTCAAAAAATGATGTCTTAAAATAGTCACTTCATTATATGGTTATTTTGAGATATTGGTTTGTAAATATTGAGCAAATTATATTTTACATCACAATATATCTATGTGCAAATTTGTGACTTTTTACGCATGCTGTATTTCTTTTTGTTTTTGGCATACGTATTACGAGATTCCGAGGAATATATATGATTGTTATTTCCAAAATAATAATTGATCTTTTGTAATAAATGCTGACTTATTTTCTCGTTTTCCTTGTGACTTTTCACTTATAATTTATCACTTTTTACTTATGATTTTTATCTTACATTTATCGCGCTGACAATAAATCAGACGCAATTTAGCTAAATATCAGATACGGCAGCATTTATTTGTTGATGTGTTAGAATCGAAATCTTATGACAAGCTATATGAGCTATATGAGCTTTTGCCATTTGCTGTTACCCTTTGCCTTGGTATAAACCATTAGTTTTACTTGATATTAGATTAATTACATTTAGAAACTAGCCTCATTTTTGCATGAGAATTATTGCATTCATATGTTTTTATGTTGATCTTTTTTATGGAAGAATTAACATCATAGGAGTTTTAATTCGGGACATTCATCTGCAACATTTAGTATTCTTGATAAATAACGATTTTTTTATTCAGATAAAACAGTTCTGGATGTGTTATTACAAATTCTTATTACATTTTACATCTTGAAATAGATCATAGAAGAACCGAAAGTGTGTGTTATTATGCTATAAAATCACTGTTTGACGTTCTATATTTAGACATGTGACGTAATTATTATACACGTGACGTAACCACTAAAAATGTGACGCGCTGACAATAAGTACGGAAACAAATCAGACGCAATTTCGGGGGTAAGAAATCTCTTGAACTGAAATACGCTCAAAACCAAAGTTATATTACCAACTGTGTGTGCAAATGATAATGATTTACACACTTATTGACTAATAAAATACGCTTAAACGTGCCGTAATTAAGCACAAGAAACACACTGGCAGTAACAAAAGTTATCACAAGAACTCCAGGACATATTTTGAGTTATCACAAGAACTCCGTGACATTTGAAAAATCGGGTATAAATTTATTAGCCTAAATGTTTGCATTTGCATATTTGCATATGTTTGCAACTATGCATTACAATTATGTATTTATGTATAGCAACGAAGAAGATCACAAATAAAATAGTCAATATGTACGAATGAGCAAGTAATTTAGAAATTTTACTGAAAACTACCAGATTTTTTTAAAAAGGCGATGAAAAATGGAATAAAAGGTTTTTCTGAAACATTATACAATGTACAATATGTAGGGCAAGCTTAATTATCAAAAGTTTAATTTAGCACCTTAAACTCCCTATCTTAAGGTAAAAATGACCATTTTTCACGTCAGTTCTCCAAGTATATAGAAAAGTTTTCCACAGAAATCCGTAACGTTTTCCAGATACTCCGTGACAGTTATCATAAGAACTCCAAACAAGTTATCATAAGAACTCCATCCTTCGTGTAACACTTCCTCCCCCGTGTATATGTATATATTAAATAAAGTCCACGAAAATTCTAAATCACAAATTCAAAGTCGAAAAAGAGGCATAATTTGATAACAATGCAATACAGAGATTTCTAACTTAAAGCGTGTTCTGAACAAGTGTGTGAAGTTTCAAAGCTGTATGATTTATTGTTTTTGAAATACCATGTTTCATGAGACTTTTATGAGCTACAAATTTCTTTGTCAAAATAATGCCTATATTCTATATAAGATTGGCGAAGAATAAACTACGGGTGAAAACCGATTGAAACTGCCGCAAACAACAATGCGAGACTGATTTGAATTTAAAACTGGAACCCATATAAAAAATAAAGCGTTTGATGTATACGCTGTATGTCAATTTGAGATTATATATCCCTGTGCAATGCAAGCAAAGTATTTTTTATTATCAATTAAAAAGGCTTATATAAAAATAACATTCTGTTTTTGCATATTAAGTCTCCTGGAAACTTACCTCGTCTGATATGACACCAAAAGTTATCTAGGAAATTAGTGGCAGAACGGGATATCTTTCGCAGCATCTTTTAATTTTAGGAATACACCCACAATTTATGTACTTAGAGTACTTTGTTATATAAACACAATTTTCAGATATTTCAAGCGGTAAAATTAATGAAACTTTTATCACTTTTCATCAAACAAAGTATCGACCGTCTTTTGACACCACCTCAATGTCGCAGATTAAAAATGAGTCAGTACTGTAGCAGTGTAACGCACTTTGAGGTCGGACCCCAAAGTGCGTTGGATCCCAAAGTGCGGTGTTACAAATCACTTTGTCAAAACATGTTTATTTTATGTTTACAAAGAGATTCAAGCATAGTATATCTTTAAAAGAAGAATGAAAGAGGCACCTGACCATACAAAAAGAAGAAAGGTGTACAGTATTAATTATAAAACGTCCCCTTTATTCACCGCCGCAGTGTTTGACCCGCCGCAGTGTGTTTTTTTTGTGTAATCGTTCTTAAATGATATAGAGGATATTTGTTTAGTTCAGTGTAAGATCGAGTAGGTATATTTCACGAGTGGAGCGACGAGTGAAATATGAACTTTTCGTGTTCACGAGGTGAAATATATTTTGATCTTTCACTAAACTAAACAAATTTTCTTTTTATTATATGCAAAGAAACATTTAAAAAGACATTTAAGCATAGTACTAAATGAAAAGGGCGCCAAATAATAATACAACGTGACGTCATTTACGACGTCACGCTCTAAGTTGGTTTCCATTATTGTGAACGGTTGTATTTCACTGAAACAACGTACCGGGCTCAAATATTCAAAACTGAAAAAATTAAAAGTTTAAAACAGTGAATTATCAGTTTTTATTTCACTGATATATTTCTATAAACCACCGAAAAGCATGTAATAAATAGAGGATATTTGTTGAAACTATATTTCAATCTTATATGTAAAACAAATAAATTTTCTTTTTATTTAATGCTTTTTAAGTGGTTTTAAGTATCTGATTACTGATTTTGCCGCGTAACGTCGTGCATTCTGCTTTGTGACGTCATCTCATCATGACGTCACGTCATCAATTTTGAAATATAGTTCTGTTAAATTTCTCAAATTTTGTTACATTTTTAACATGATGTATGGTGACATCGACTTTCTATTCCTAAAGAAACAAAATTTACGTATGCCGGCATTTATTTCTGCCTGTTATTCCATTTATTTATGATTTTCTTTTCATCCGCATTCAGATATAGTCCGGCTACAGTGAAAATTATATTTTATAAATTTCACTAGTGGTTTATCGGAATATAATCATCTGATATATTACAATAAAACAACGGAAAGCATGTAATAAAAAGGTATTATCTCTAATTTGATTCATTAGCATATGATATTTGTGTGTATTTCTGCATTAATGATACTGTTAAAGAATTTCAATTTCTCTATCTGGAAAATATAGAAACTAAATAAGTTTCTACCTTTCGCCCTTACCGGGAGGGAGTTTTACATTCAGTGGGATGGTTAGACTCACTATGGTATACTATATCCTGTGAGGTGGCCAGTAGGATTTCTATTACTGTTATAATTGAGAAAATATTTACTTATTACATATTCTTTTTGTAAACAATGTACTTTTTATTATATATCATCAGTATCATATTGATACTTTGTGTTACCATGATCACGTGACGCGATAAT